AAGTGACTTCCCCAAAATTTCTGGAAACAATTAATTGCTGTCCAAAACATGGAAATTCCAAAGTTATTGATCTCCTGATTGATAGATAACGGCCATGGTAGAAAAAACCTAATACAAATAATACAAATCACTGGTTTACTGTGAGTTTTCCGGGCTGTATGACCATGTTCCAAAACCATTCTCTCCTGATGTTTCTCCCACATCTGTGGCAGGCATTCCCAGAGATTGTGAGGTCTGTTGGAAACTGGGCAAGTTGGGTTTATATATCTGTGAAATACACTAAGAAAACAGAGGAATTCCAGACAGGAAACAATCAGGGTCAGCCAACACCTCCAAATAAAGAATTCCCCCAGGCAGGAAGCAGCCAGGCTTTGAAGCTGGCAAGGCTATTCAATACTAATCAAGCTGGCCAGGTGCAACGTTCACACTTGCCTCCAACAGACCAAGAGTTTTTTCTCCCACCCTGGACATTCCACAGATATATAAACCTCACATGCCTAGTTTCCAACAGACCTCACAACCTCTGAGGACGCCTGCCATAGATGCAGGTGAAATGCCAGGAGAAAATGCTTCTGGAACATGGCCAGACAGCCCGGAAAACTCACAGCAACCCACAAATATTTTATTTTCAAAAAATGCTGCACCCATCACTCTGAACCAATCCAATGGATGCAATGCAAGTAAAACCCAGGACTCTAAATTCAAGCATGGATTGGGACTGTATGCTGCTCAACCCTTTTTTAAACTAAAGATTTCTATTTGTCTTTTTCTCTAAAAGGATTGATATCACCCCAGATTTCCTTCATGCCACATTTGAAGCATTTTCTCGAAATATTCAGTCTGTAGGGAAATAGCCGCAAAAAAACAACACAGTTCTGTAAACCTTTTGGCAACATACTGGTAGCATACTGGCAATGTACATAGGATGTATAACATGGGAAAACACTGTTTACATTGGTCTTCCTTCTTCCTGCATTTTACCATTTAAATGACTCTGATTCAAAATTCAATATGTTCTGTTCGCGATCAATGCCACTTACACTGAAGCTTCCAGCCACAGCTTTGGATTGTCATCCATCACAACAGGAAATTAATTACAAAATGTGTCATTCAAAAAGCACATAAGCCAAAAAGTTGGTAAAAAGCTGAATTGACTGTAAAAACAGTCAATTCTAAGTGTGTGGGAACATGTTGGGGAAGCTTAATAAAAGCCTCATTATTCAATATTCTTCCCTTTTACTTCACTCTATAATAAAGCTGTCATGATCTCCTCTACAGAAGTACTTTTCACCCTGTTATTCCACTTGACACAGGGCACATCTACACTTGGCATTTAATGCAATTTCAAACTGATATTGAAGAAAGTGGCTTCACTGTGCAGAGGATTACACATGAATAATAATAATATTCATCATCATCATCATCATCATTGAACTGCAAAGACTGTGGCACAAGCCAGTAAAGGCGGCACACTGGGTGCAGTGCCTAAAGACCTTGGCCTGCACTTAAACACAATCGGCGCTGACAAAATTACCATCTGCCAGTTGCAGAAGGCCACCTTAATGGGATCTGCATGCATTATTCGCCGATATATCACACAGTCCTAGACACTTGGGAAGTGTCTGACATGTGATCCAATTCAACAGCCAACAGAGTGTCTGCTGTGGACTCATCTTGTTGTGTTTATTTATTTATTTATTTATTTGATTCATTTATTAACCGCCATTCTCAGCCCTTACGGGCGACTCATGGCGGTGTACAGTACACATAAAAGACAGTTACAAAAGTCAGTATCTACAAACACATAGCTATACAAACAACTACAAACTACATAAAAATCCGCTTCGTCTCTTAGTAGAATCATAGGCCAGTCTCATCGTCCTTATATCATTCCAGTTCTCATTACCATAATGTTACCATGATGTTGTTACTAGCACTTAATTAAATGCCCTCTCGAACAGCCAGGTTTTAAGGCTTTTTCGAAAGGACATGAGGGAGGGCGCCTGTCTAATGTTTGCCGGGAGAGTGTTCCACAGCCGGGGAGCCACCACCGAGAAGGCCCTCTCCCTCGTCCCCGCCAGTAGTAGTAATAGTAATAGTAATAATAATAATAATAATAATACTAATAGTAATAATAATAATAATAATAATAATAATAATAATAATAATCTTTATTCATACCCCACCTCCATCTTCCCCAATGGGGACTCGGGGCAGCTTACATAAGGCCAAGCCCAAACAACAAATTACAATGAAATGAAATGCAAATTACAATAAAATAAACAACATATACAATAAACAATATACACAAAACATTAAAAATGGATAAAGTATGAGGTCCAGATGGGGATTAAGCAAACCACAGAGTACTGGTGAGCATTCAGGGCTTCCTTTTGTGGGCTTTTGTGGAAGTTTGTTGTCTGACTGCCACAGTTTTAAGTTTGCTCCGCACTGCATTAAGTGGTCAGTGTTGTTGGGGTCACAGACTTCTGTGAAGTTCTGGCCTTTCCCTGAATGCCTGTGCCCTTGTTATGCGCAACAGTATACAAGCACACCAAACAGAATTCAATTACTTCTCTGCTATGATTCATTTGATGCCTATGGGCACTCAACTTCTCTTAAAAATGGAAATAGTGATTGGGACATGATTGTGGACAAACCCAAACAGGCATAGGGGATTTTCACCTGGGAGAGTGCTACCCAAAAACCACACACCTTAATAAGAAAAGAAGCAAGGAAAACCCCTTCTGCTGTGCTAAAGAGCGTTATGACATATGTAGCAAAATAGATCAATTCTCCATCCCCACCCTTTTCAATCTAATTTTCCATTCCTGTCAAGTATAAAAATTTCAGGTTGCGGATTTCAAACGTCATCACTGCTTTTTGGGTGTTTCCGTAGTTTAAATCAACAGCTCCCAATCTTCAATTGTTTTTATGATAGAACCAATAAGGGAATGGCATTTATAAACTAGGGGGGGAAATCGTAATTTATTGGAACTCTGCTTGGCTATGGAAGGGCAAATCCCTCTGACACTGGGAAATGCACAGAATTCTAGGAAATGTAGTTTAGGGCAGGACCTTTTGAATTCTCTGGCATAGGGCTCCCCTCTTCCCAAACTACATTTCCCAGAATTCTGTACCATTCCCAGAAAACACTGCTCCCTCTTTTCCCCGCTCCTAATGGCAAGACTCTATTAATTTACAGAGGAAAGGCAAGGCACTAAGGCAGCCCTTAGCTTTGCTTCCTTGCACTGAATATGAAACTGACTTTGAGAGCCTTCCGAAATTTACAAAACTAAAATGAAAAAGTATGGGACAAGTTTCAATTCTTAAATTTTTTGCTCATATCAGATATTGCCTTATAAATACGAATTTAACAAATGTGATACCAATTACTAACCAAAAAATGCACGCCTCTAGTATCTACTTCTAAATATGGAATGACTTGAGAATGCAGCTGTGCAATGCTGCATGAACATAATGGTAGACGCAGCAAACTGCATACCATATTTCACAAACGACGCTTTTCAGTGTAACTGGATTTCACATGGATCAGTTTAACTGCCTGGCCACTTGAATACTTGATGCTGAAAATGGCAATCTGCAACAGCAGAAATACTTGTATAGGTTTAGTTTCAGTGCAAAGTGAGTCATAGCGCAATCATCCATGGTGGATTAATTGACTCCACAGTAAAACCGACTCCTCTGTTCAAATGGAGAGGCTTAACTTGTCAGGGCTGCCGTGAGCAGAAGCCGTCAACAATTAATTCACAGCTGCAGGTGACACACAAGCCTCGAACAGTTAAATGAGCCAATCAGCATTTGACGAAAGATGTGATGTCAATGGAGATCACTAGAGGGGAAAAGTGCTTCTTTTTCTTCTCCCCGGCTTTCATGAACAGTGGAGAGAGAAATCTCAATGGTTTTGGGATCCAACGGGCCTTATATTCCCTCCCAGGCACTGACATCATTCTTAGCTTAATACCTTGTCTGCAAAGCCAGGCAATTTTTTAGCTGCAGACTGAATCTACTCTCTTCCCGATGGAGTTCCATCACACGCTGAAAACGATTTTGTTTTGGCAGCATTTGAGCCTTACTGCAGATTGTATTTATCTTGCTCTTCCTTTTGTTTTTCTTGCTGCTATTTTGTACCTTGCCCTGCTGCTTTGTTTGCTTAATTATTTTACAATTACAGCTTTGACTTACAAATAAGCAAGAAGAGAAATATCTGAGTTTATATCAAAATTTATCAATGCCAAACTTCCATTCCGTGTGTTCAGTTCACTCTTAATTAATTTGGATTAATCAATACAGAAGAACTACAGCTTCATGGACATGATATTTTGAGATGATTGATTCTGTACAGCATAGAGAAAACTGCCAAATATTGCACACCAAAACAAACAAAACCCAATAAAGAAATATCCATTAAATAAAATACAAATCTATACTGGTGCTTGCTAGGAGTGACCAGATCTTTTCAAATTCTGGAGGAAAAAAAATATGCTTACTGCCACAGACCCTTCTGCCATCAACTTCTCTTTCTACCCCATTTTTAAAAATAATTTAGCAGGTAGTGTATTTTCCTAGCAGACCTTTAACTATTAGGTAAGGGGACAGCGGTTAACCTTTTCACCCAAAATTTTGGGATTTATGGTTCCAATTCTACATGTAAATAGATGCTTCTTGCAAGGACTTGAAGCCCACACTATTGCAACTCTCAGGGAAATTAAGCCCCAATGTCCTTTTACTCTGAAAGGAAGGTTGATTATCCATCCCTTGCATTGGGTAGCAACTGATTCTCAGCCTGCAGTACTCTGTTAAAACCCAGCTTTCATGCAGCATATTCAAACTGGATGGTCATTAATTGTCAACCCATCTTCTTTCAAGTTCTCATGAAAAGCCCTCAATAAAATAGGAAAAACTTAACATTTAAACCAACATTTGGGGGGGGGGGGCACTATAACAAAAGCATAGCCAAAGCAAGCCATTTCACTAACCTCAATTGGTTCAGCAGGTATTTTCAGTTTGGGTAAGTTGGTCTTGGCATTTGCTTTTAAAGTGGTTATCTTCCCATAGGACGGTTCGTGGTATTCCTTGGGAAGAGGTTTCAGCTCTGGAGACTCATCCGGTGCCTGATCTTGACCATCCATTGGCCGGACGTAGGCAGTCGGTTTCTGCTGTATTATTGCACTGCTTTTGGAGGACAAGGATGAGGGAAATGTCTGGGAGGAAGGCTGGGCAGCAACAGTCACAGCAGCACTCACGCTGTCCTGGGTTTCATTATCACGTGTTCCAGCCACCGGCTCTTGAGGAGGAGAGCTTTTCTGCCCAGGTTTTTTGCTGGTGTTGCTGCTACTACTCTGAGGCCTGGAATTGAGACGCTGTCCGGAATGTAGAGGCGACAAAGGTGCAATAGGGGAAGATAACGTGGACAACAGGGGGGAAAGATGCAAAAGGGAGGCTTGCACCTCCCGTGTGATATCTTCATCCATGCATCTTTCGTTCTTCTGCTGGCGCCTGCTACTTGGGATTTCTTGAGTCTTGCAGCTGAGCTGTTGACTTTGCCTCTGGTGGCTGGGCATCCCCCCACTTTGTGAGGCTGGTTCAGTCCTTGAGTGGGCTTTTTGGTAGTGCACAGAGTTTCCTGCTGGAGGAGCGCTGGAAGGAAGGGGCCCCAAGGGCTTGTGGTGATAGCTGTTGTTCTGGAATGAGGGGGGCAGTACGCTGGTGGTCTTTTCGGGGAAGAGCGGGCGGTCTGGCTTGTGCGGAGGGATCAGAGACATGACACTCTCCGGGATCCCTATGTAATTCTGCGGGGACTTGGCAGCAATGAGCTCCTTCATCTCTTCATAATCGCCAAACATTTTTTGAATTCGATTGGATAGCTCGTCTGCTTTGTGTATCTGAAATGGTAAAGAGCAGCAAAGAACAGGAGGGTTAGAAACAATGAAACAGAGGATGCCCTTGCAAACATTATGAGTAGAGAAATGACCAAAAGACCATAATAGTACTGGTCCATCTGACTAATTGAACAGACTGATCTAACAGCCACACAGACACCCACTGAGTTTTTTAGGAAACTGCAAATTGTTGTAATTTGCAGTAAATATTTTTGAAAAGCTGAAATGGAATGAGGTGAAAATTACTCAATTTCCTCCCATAGTTCATGAAGGCTACCTTCTCCTTGAAAGATTGAACTGCTTAGGGAAATTAAACAACAGGGGTCATAGGCAAATATTTATGCTTATTGGCCTACCCATAAGGGAGGGTGATATCTTAAGTTCATATAAACTTAAATATGAGTAGCAAATGGGAATTTTAATGGGAATTATAAAAGATTATCAGGACTATTACTACAGTATGATATGTGCGGGGTATATTCCAAGAATTTGCAGGACATGCAAACCCTAATGAAATGAAGGACATTTGGCCAAAGAATAACATAGTGTTGCACTGGAAAACCTAAAGAGAAGAGTAGTTGGATGTGGATAAATGAAATCGTGGATACCGGACCCATGGACATGGGCATCAGTTATTTATATCCTGCCCCTTTCCCAGTGTGAGACTAAAGGCAGCTTACTACCATAGAAACCAATATAGTTAAAATTACCAGCATACAGAAGTTAAAAGGCAATTAAAACTGTCATAAAATCCAAAACCAATTAACAACAATAAGAACCACAACAGCACATTATACAAGGGTTGTGAAATCAATTTTCAAAGGCATGTCAGAATAAAAAAGAGCTTTATCTGCTTGTGAATGATAGTGAGAAGGGTGCCATAGTCTAGTTTATCAGGGAAGGGGTTCCAGAGCCTGGGAACACCCAGTGAAAAGCCCTCCACATGTTCCCATCAAACGTGACTATGAGGATGGTGGGATGAAGAGCAAGGCTGCCATACAAGACCTCAACAAATGGTCAGGCTCACATGGTCAACTGAAAGTGATTCCATGGCTAGAAAGCAGGAGCAGATCCCTTTTTTGCAACTACTTCCCATGTACCACTGTAAAGCAGCAATAGTTGGAATGGACATTTGGCTAAGCCTTGCTACAGGAGATAATTTAAACAGGGGATGCTGAGCACTGAGCTCAGGGTCTTCTGCATGCAAAATATACTCTAGTATTGTGCTATGTGTCTTCTAGGGTTTACTTCTTGCTCCCAATTGCTTAATGCTCTACCTCCACAAGATATGAACTCTTCCCTAAGATGATGCTCTCCATATGCTTTGGAATAATTCCGATTAGCCCCAGCCATCATAGCTACTGCTCAGCAGTGATGAAAAATGCAGTGTGAAACATGCAAGAACATATAATGATAGGGAAATCCAGCACAGAGTAAGGGTCTTGCTGTAACTCTAGAAAGAAGGTAATTGATGGTATAAGGACCATCCTTCAAACTGCAATGCAATGGGATATGCCAGTTACCTTGTAAGGTTTTTCAAAGAGGGGAATGGCTGCGGGGAACGTCTCTCTTTCTTGATGAGCTTCCTGATTCCTTCTCTCTTTTGCTTGGATGCGGAGCAAATTCCTCTGTTCATTGTACAAGCTGTTGGAGAGAAGAGTGGGAAACAATTACTGTCTAGCACCTCTGTCTCTTATATCTATATATTTCCACCTTTTCAACATACACACTTTTCAAAACTGGAAAATAAAGTAATGGAAGAAAACAGGAAATTTGACCCAAAACAGTGTACCTAGACTTGTGCCTAGAGGCATGCAGTGGTGGCGCATATAAAGCAATTAACCTACTTGCAGACAGAGAAACTTTTGAAGCAGAAAAATGTATGTATGTATGTATGTATGTATGTATGTATGTATGTATGTATGTGTTTAATCTATCCTCCCATCTACCTGCCACAAAATTTGAGGCAGCTTATACCCATTGGCAACTCTGAAAATATTGATACAAAAGTTAAAACACAATTAAACCCCAGCTCTGTTTTGAAAAGCACATTTAAAAGAAATTCAGTGCCCACGATAGAAAGCTCCATCTGCTACAATGTATTAAAAACCAAATGCCTCATTAAATAAACTAAATAAATAAATACAAATGCCACCAAGCCTTCCCCCCCCCCCCCCCAAGATCCTCAATGTAACTGTAAATGCAGAACTGGTGGCTCATCTACTCTCGCCATCACATTCTTCATTTCCGTCACCAGATGGATCCAAGAGATTAGGGAGAGACAACTCCCTCTGCTGTTCTGGAGCTTCCAGAAGCGAAAAAAAGGGATGTGGAGGCACTTTCCCCCTTTATAGAAAATGCATAGATCTTGGGAAAAAATTTGCTTACAAGAAGTCTCTACAATTTTCTTGGTTCTGATAGCCATAGGGTAGGGAGAAGGACGGCAATGCCAGTTCCCAACTTCCTCAAATAAGTGCTCTCTACATCAGGGGTGTCAAACTCATTTTCATTGAGGGCCACATCAGCCTTATGGTTGCCTTCAGAGGGCTGTTGAATTCATGGGCCATCTGTGGATAAATGTCCAATTATAACTGTTTTACATAGTACGGTGCTCTTCAGTTTTTAATTAGGAGCCACAGTGGTACAATGGATTAAACTCTTGTGCCAGATGAACTGCTGATCTAAAGGTCAACGGTTCAAATCCGCAAGACAGGGTGAGTTTCCGTCTGTCAGCTCCAGCTTCCCATGCGGGGAAATGAGAAAAGCCTGGATGGTAACACATCCAGGCGTCCCCTGGGCAACGTCTCTGCAGATGGCTAATTCTCTCACACCAGAAGCAACTTGCAGTTTCTCAAGTCACAATAAAAAAATTGTAATTGAATGACAACTCCCATCACTTTTGATTATGCGTCAGGCAGACTGAGATAATGGGAATTGTAATCCAACAACACTTGTGGCTCTGAAGTTGGGGAAAGATTAAAAGACATTTTAAAGTCTGGAATCATATATCCACAAGCCTTGTATCTGAAACCTCGCTATCTTGACTAAACAGGAGAAACTGCAGGCTCCCAGAAGTTACTGTATCACATCTCTCATCAAGTTTAGTCATGAAGTCTAATGATGAGTAATACAAAAGTTGTAGTCCAGCTTCTGTAGGGCCACATAAAATGACATGGGAGGCCAGATTTGGCTGGTGGGCCATGAGTTTGAGACATGTGCTCTAGATGCATTTAACTACAATTCTCAACAGCATTATCAAGGGCAACCTGGCACAGAGCATATTGCAGTATGCTATAGTCCAGGCATGGGCAAACTTGGGCCATCCAGGTGTTTTGAACTTCAACTCCAACAGTTCCTAACAGCCTAATCAGGAAGATGCCAATGGAAGAATAACTGTGGTCAGGCTGTTCCTGTCCAGGAAAGACCACAGCTCTCTGATCAGAAAAGCTCAGATGCATCTAGGACGGTGGTTCTCAACCTGTGGATCCTCATGTGTTTTAGCCTACAGCTCCCAGAAATTCCAGCCAGTCTACCAGCTGTTAGGATTTCTGGGAGCTAAAGGCAAAAACATTTGGGCCCCACAGGTTGAGAACCACTGATTTAGGAGTATTTCCAAATTACACACCACCTGCCTCAAAAACGTTATTATTGTGAAGCCAGCTTTTTAAAATCTCCGGGACTTTTAATCTCATATCAAGGCATAGGGATACAGCATCCTAGTGAAAGTGGGGGAAAGTAAATTTTAAAAACACTTTTTAACTTGAGCCAACACCAGTCTTAGGAATCTCTAGGTCCTGTCAACATCTCTATGGCCAACTTCCACCGGAATTGCATTACTGGACCTTCAAATCCTTAAAAAATGTTCATTCTAGGACTTCAGGTCCTCTAGCTCAACTCCATAGTCAATATCCATTAGATGTTTACCACCGAGTTAGGCTCAGGGAATTAGAGAGAACATATTAATCAAAAGTGCAAGAAGTCTAATCTGCAAAAGTTTACTCCACAAATGTGGAGGGTCAGCTGTAGTTCTGAACAGCTCCACTTTGGCCACATGTTTCTCTATGTGGTATTGCTGACCTGACCTATGTTTTTCCACATTTTGTTTTTACCTTTGTAATAAGCCACCATGTTATAGATAGCTCAGGCGTGCTAAAATAAAACAATTACAAATGGGCCGTAGTAATCACCCTCAGGAGTAACAGTAAGGGCATCTAAGGTAGAGATGTCCCCTGAAAAATGTCTGTGGAAACAACACTGGCTTCCGCGCAGCTCAAATCCCTTCTATCTTGTCCCTCCCTGACTCGCTCCACACCCTGCCAGTTCGCATCTTGCTGAGACCATGAAAACTGGAGCAAATCCATTTTCCCAAGGAACAGCGACTTTGGGGGTTTCATGCTTGGATTGCATTTGGAGCATTATTACCCACAGTCACGCACCAGGAACAGGGGAAAGAAACTACTGTCTTTCCAATGATTTTCTATGCAAGCAAGCTCCTAAAAAGCCTCCAAATGTTGATTTGTTCAAAAACAACTGCTGTGTGAGAACCAGAGCCTTTAAACCAACCATTATTATTCCCTTATCAATACAAAGCAGAAAAGACAGATGTGCACAGCCAGAGGACAACAGTGTTATGTAAGAAACCTGGCTGCTCTCAAACTGATCTGTATCCTTCTTCCAACTCATACATACCAACTTAATATAACAAGGTAACAATCCAACACTAGCCCCATTCATTTCACTGTGTCTAAAACAGATGGTGTTACTAGAGTCGATGGGTGCATCTTAATGAAGTTGGACACCACTTTAACTTCCAAGGCTCAATGCCATGGAAGGCTATAAAGACTTTGTAAAGCTACAAGTCCTATGATTCCATAGCATTGAGCCAGCTAAGTTGGTATTAAGTTACATTAATTGTACAGTATAGATGCACCCAATATCTTCTAATTTTCAGATAAGTCAGTAGGCTGAGGGGAAACCAAATATTTTATACAATACAACATTAACACTGAATACTGATTGAAAACTGGAAAACCTTTCATGACTGTGTAGACTGTGTTTGAAGCAGGTGTTGGTTGTCACAAAAGCTAGTAGCAATCAATACCTGTTGAAATTTCCCCTTCTAGAGAGCCAGAAGGGTGATGGTGTGAGGGTTGGGGACTATGACTTTGGAGACAAGGATTCAATTTCCTGCAACGCCAGGAAAATCCACTGAATGACATGTGAATAACACAATTTCAGCTCCAGAAAAACCAAGTGATAGGGTCATCATAAATCAGAAACAACTTGTGGACTTAGAACAATAGCAACAACAATAACAACAACCACCCTTAAAGGAACAAGAGCCATCTCTAATTTACACTTTGGCAAACTAGTACAACATTCAGGCAATATAATCAAGTACTGCACAATTCAGCAAAATGTATCCCTAAATGGATTAAGGGTTGTAAATAATTCACAGAACAGGAGAAACCTCACTATGTCATTTTGGTCCAGCATCACCGAACAAAATGTATGATTGCTTTTGTCAGATGGGTTGCACTCAATCACCTTATTATACCAAGGTGTTTGTGCCACCAACAGCTCCTTTTACCTGTTCAGAGCATTACACTACACCAAAATGAGTACTCTCGTAAAGCAAGGCAGCTTCATCCTTCTTACAACACTTCCAGGCACCAGAATCTTCCTTCATTACTACAGTTGATTGGCAAATGTAACTGCTCCAGAGTGGACAGAACTTTGCAAAACAAGGGAACTGAAATTAAGTCTTTTCCCCCTTCAATGGAACAGACAGGAAAAGAAAAGATATACTATTGATTTGATCAAGGAAAGTGGCGGAGGGGGGTGGGTGGGGTGTCTGGCATCTTAAAGGCTAATTTATTTTATCACAAAGGTTTGTTGATTCCAATCAACTTTCTCAGATATACTCGCAGGGAGAAATATTTGAGATTTTGGTTATGTACAGTTAAATAGTGTGGGAGTCAGGACAGGGTGAAATGGGTTACACTGATAAAACAGGATTGCAAGATAAGGCACTGTCAAAAGTCCATTGGCCCTGATATCCACATACCAGCCTTACACACTTGTCACAGCTACAATGAATTTTAAATCAAGAGAAATTTGGGAGTGGATGGGAAAGAAGAGCAAGAAACACCAAAACCCTTCTATGTGAGGTTTAGCTCTGATTTAACTACCCATTGTAATTGCATCATTGCTGTTCATAAGGTTTCTAATCCAGGATCCTTTTTTTGAAAATGGGACAGGCAGAAAAAAAAAAAACAATTCCAAGTGGCAACATTAATTCCTAAACTTTCCTAAATGGAAGCGCAAATACAGAACCATCTTACTGGGACAAGCATTAATCTTAAAACAAGCTATTTGTGCATCAATGCCAAAGACCACTCCATTCAAAGTAACCATCCCAAGCCAACTGGAGATGTCAACATTTTTGAAAAAATTGAAGCCATGACGGGGGAAATTCCTGGTAAAAAACAATTTTGGGGGTAAATGGGAAAAATGCTATATTCGCAACCATTGCAGGTTAAAGGTCACTTTGTTACTTCAGGAATATAAAGTGCACTCTCTAGGCAGTGGCTCTCAACTTGTGGGTCCCCAGATGTTTTCGCCTTCAACTCCCAGAAATCCTA